GCATCTCACAGTGTTTTTGCTTGGTCTTGCCCCAGCTCTCACTCCCTCCCCCAGGAAACCTGTTCTAGTGTCCCACGGGTCGGGGCAGAACCACAAAATTGACCACATGGGATGCAGCCACTTTAACCACCACACCACTGGCTGGACCTCTCTTCCTACATTTCTTTTTTTCTCTTTCTTTCTTTTTCTTTTCTTTTTTAAAAATTTTTGCCATAGAGCATGTGCACTTGCCAGAGAGAGGCAGAGAGAAACAGAGAGAGAGAGGAAAAGTGAAAAATCATACACCCCAGGTGGGATGGCCATGCTGTAATCTGTTCTTCCATTCTTTTCTTAGGATTTTGGGCACACATGCACATGTGCCCAGTGCATTTTTCAAGCTTCCAGGTCCAGGACTAGAACTGTGGAGTCAGCCATGTGGGGTCCAGTGCGTTAACCACCCTGTCACCTGCTTGCTTTCTTCTATTTTTTTAAGACTTACTTATTTATTTTATTTATCATCATTATTATTTTTAAAGAATTAATTAATTTCATTTATTATTTTTATTTTTTAATTTGACCAGAGAGAGACAGAAAGAGAGAAGGAAAATGAGTCCCAGGTCCAGGACTAGACCCATGGTCGGCCATGTGGGAGTCCAGCACCCAACCACCACACCACCCACTGGCCCCATTATTATTATTTTTTAATTTGCTACAGGGCATAAGATATAACGAAAGAGATATAAGATATAAGATATAAGGTATAAGAAAGAGATAACGAAAGTGATAAAGCAAAACACAAGGTTTGGTACTCGAGGGGCCAGCAGTTAGCATAATGGCTATGTCGCTGGTTGCCCCCGTAGTTGCCGTGCTGACCCAAGATACTTTTTTTTTTTAGAGGTTCTTCCTTTAGGATTCATACTGTTGCCAGAGAGAGAGAGAGAGACAGAAACAGTGAAAGGGAAAGTGAAATCACCCCAGGGTGGATGGCCATGTCACAATCCCTTCTTCTCCACTCTCCTCTGGGATCTTGGACACACACGCACATGTGCCCAGTGTGATTTTGAAACCACCAGGTTTGGTACTCGAACCACAGTCTGCCATGTGGGAGTCCAGCATCTCAACCACCACATCACCTGCTGGCTCTCTTCCTCTATTGTTTATCTGGCTAACTTATTTATCTTTTAAAGAATCATTTCATGTAACTTTATTTATTTATTTATTTTAATTTGAACAGAGAGGGACAGAGCAAGAGAGAGAGAGAGAGAGAATGAACTGTGGTCGAACAGTGGCCAACCATGTGGGAATCCAGTGCCCTTAACCACCACTCCACCTGCCAGCCCCTACTCTTATTTATCTTTGAAGATTGAATTCTGCTGCCACCTCTTCTTGGAAGCGTTCTCTGATCCTCTTCTTTTCCCAGGCTGGTCTAGGTACTTTGTGCTCTCAAAGTACCCTGTGCTTACTGTTGACATTTTTAGGGTTTCTATCATTTTAAATTTGTAAAGTTTTGTTTAATGGACCATAATATGTTCTAATTTGGTGAATATATACTTAAGAATAATGTGTACTGGGGCCAGTAGTTAGTGTAATGGCTATGTCGCTGAACTCCCATGTAGTCGACCGCGGTTCAAGTCCTGGATCTGGTGGCTTAAACTCATGCCGGGCGCATGTGCATGTGTGCCCAAGATCCCAAGAGGAGAATGGAGGAGAAGGGATTGCAGTGTGGCCATCCCCCCGGGGGATGATTTCTCACTTTCTGTCTCTCTGTCTCTCTCTGTCTTTCTGGTGAGCGCACACTCTCTACAGTGAAAACCTCTCCAAAAAAATAAAAATAAAAGAATAATGTGTACTCTGTTGTTGGGTGTAGGACTCTATGCATGTCCATTGGATCCTGTTGGTATTGCTGTTTCATTCTTTTATATCCTTGCTAATTTTCTGTCTGCTTATTCCATGAATTGTTTGTTTAAATTATTTATTTAATTTTATTTATTCATTTATTTATTTTAATTTGACCAGAGAGAGAGACAGAGAGAGAGAGAGAGAGAGAAGTGAAAAGCAAGCCACTAGGTCCGTCAGGACTCGAGCCATGGGCAGCTATATGGGAGTGTCCAGTGCATTAACCACCACACCACCTGCTGGTCCCTCCATTAATTGTTGGAAGAGGTATGTTTAAATCCCCACGCATTGTTATGGATTTATAAATTTCTCCTTTCAGAAATATGAGTTTTTACTTAGCATAATTTAAAACTTTATTATTAGGTACATTAATATTTAGGATTGTTATGTTTTGTTATGTTGTTTTGGTGAATTAACCATTTTATCATTTTGAAATGATTTTCTATTTTTAAGTATATTTTATTTATTTATTTTTTGAATGAGTGTGTGTTTGTGTATGTGTGAAAGACAGAGACAGAGAGACAGTGAGACAGCTCCCCAAAAAAGATCTCCATGCCACAATCCACCCACAACCTCAGCCAGTCCAGATCAAGGACATACATGTGGCATCATATTCATGGAGGTTTCTAGATGTGAACCTGGAACATCCTCATAGAGCATCGCATTTTACTGCTGTGCCACTGTCCAGCCCTGTGTCATGACTTTCTTTAATCCTGGTAATATTTGTCTTGAAACCTTCTTTGATATTAATATAGGCATTCCAGCTTTTTTTTTTTTTTGATTAGTGTTAGCATGGTATACATATATTTCTTTCTATCCTTTTACTTTTAATCTATTTGTGTCTTTATATTAAAGTGAGGACTTTTTTTTTTAGAGGTTTCTGCCGTAGGGCACATGTGCTCGCTGGAGAGAGAGAGACAAAGACAGTGAGGGGGAAAGTGAGAAATCACACCCAGGAGGATGGCCACGCAACAATCCCTTATCCTACATTCTCCTCTTGGGATTTTGGCATGTTTTTCAAGCTCCCAGGTCCTGGACTCAGACTACAGTCAGCCAAGTCAGATCCAGATGCTTTCATCACCATGCCACCTGGCTGGTCCTCTTTATTATTTTAAACTTTTTTATTTAAACATGATTATAGAGTTTGGCCAGCCGTTGGCATGGTGATTAAGACAGCTGGATCCTCCATGGCTGAGTGTGCAGTTCAAGTCTCAGACCTGGTGGCTTGAAAAATATGCCAGGTATGTGTGCTTGGGTACTCAAAATCCTAATGGAGAGATGAAGGAGGAGGGATTGTGGCATGATCATCCCCCATGGGGAGTGTTTTCTCACTT